AAAAATCAAATGGGGGATGAGTAGCCACCTCCAAGGAGCATTAAATAACAATGAGGAGCCAGCAGGTGTGCAAGGCGTCAGAGATGGGTTCTGGGAGCTCCCAGGCTCCCTGCTCCGTGCATGAGCCCTGCTATGTGGGGAGCCCTCCCTGTCCACCTGGCCGGGGCTAAGCACACGGCAGGCTCCCTCTCCTGTGAGCTGTACGACCCGGTTGTCCTCAGCCCATGCAGTTTCTGTTCTCAGAACAGCAGAGGCCCAGAGAGGCACAGGCCCTCATCCCAGGGGCAGAGCAAGGCGGAATGCAGGTCTTGCTCCGGAAGTAGTGCCCCTTCCCCTCTGTAAGCATCAGTGTACCCACTTCTCAGATGAGAAAGCTGAGGCTGAGGAAGGCCTACCAATAACCAAGACCCCCCAGAAAGCCAGAGAGCTTTGGGGTCTTGCTTTTCTGTCCTCCTGGATTCCCCCCCGAACCCCACAGTGTCGCTTTCTCAGTCAGGAACCTGGGCTTTGGAGAGTCCTGTTGGCTGGGAAGAGGGGGACAGCATGGTGTTGGGGTCCCAAAAAACATGACCTAGGTTTTCAGTTCTTGCAGGTGGACTCCTAGGAGTGGCATTGCTGGAAATACGGTAACTCCACATTTGACCCCAGACTCGAGTTGGCCAAGCCTGGGCAGGTCACAGAACCTCTCTGGGCTGGACCTGAAACCCCAGGGGTAATGGAGCCTCACAGGATGGCACGTGGGCACATGGGAACGCACAGGCTGAGTCCTCGCACAGCAAACACGAGCTGCAGCTGTGCCGTCATCGGATCGCGAGCCAGTACAATGCGCTATCTCCCCTGGTAACCGCAAGGGCTCTGGTCTGCGTTCTGTTTCCTCCTGTGGTCGCTTCTGCTGGGCGGGAAGGGGACAGCCTCGTGCGGTGAGGGTGTGACGTGAGGAGGACATGTAGGGCACAGGGAGGAACTGTCAGGTCCAGAGTGGAATATCCCCAGCCCCCGAAACCCCCCAGGCTGCCTCCTCATCACTACCCCAGGGGTCCTTAACCCTTATCCCGACTTCCAGCTGCATCGGTTGGCGTTGGCTCTTACTGCTCTGGGCCCAAGGGTGGTGCAGCTGGGAGAGGTGGTCTCTGCGAGGCTGACCCACGTGGGATGGTTCTGAGTTCAGATCCAGAGACATCCCCGAGCGCACCAGGCACATGTGTGTCCCAGATCTGGGGCTCGGGTTGGGGCGATCAGCGTCGGCCCTTACTGGGCATCCTGTCTTCCTCCGTCTCTCTTGCTCATGGAAGAAATAAATATGTGGCATTCCTAGTACAGTGGGTCTTTGTTTTTAAAAGATTAGGGGAGGGTAGTGTGGCAGTTGAGGCGGTGTGTTGGTTGAGGTGTTGGACTCGCACATGGCCGACTGCAGTTCGAGTCCTGGACCTGGCAGCTTGAAGCTCATGTCGGGCCCGTGTGCCTAAAATCCCAAGAGAGGAAAGGAGGAGAGGGAATTGCAGCTTGGCCATCTCCCCTGAGGGTGATTTCTTGCTTCACTATAGGGCCCGTGCGCTTGCCAGACAGAGAGACAGAAAGCGAGAAATCACCCCCCAGGGGGGATGGTCATGCCGCAATCCCTTCTCCTCCATTCTCCTCTCGGGATCTTGAGCATGCATGCACACGTGCCCGGCATGATATTCAAGCCACCGGGTCCGAGACGCGAACTATAGTTGACTACGTGGGAGTCCAGTGACATAGCCATTACGCTAACTGCTGGTTCCCTGCCTCTGTTTCTTTGATGAACGCACATGCCCCATAGCAAAAAAAAAAAAAAAAAAAAAAAAATCTAAAAAAAAAAAATTAGGGGAGCAATGGGTTGGCCCTGTGGCCTAGTGCTTGAACGAGCCAGTCCCCACACGGCTGACCACGGTTCAAATCCTGACCCTGATGGCTTGAAGCACACAATGTGTGTGTGTGTGCATGCCCCTAAGATCTTTGATGAACGCACATGCCCCATAGCAAAAAAAAAAAAAAAAAAAAAAAAATCTAAAAAAAAAAAATTAGGGGAGCAATGGGTTGGCCCTGTGGCCTAGTGCTTGAACGAGCCAGTCCCCACACGGCTGACCACGGTTCAAATCCTGACCCTGATGGCTTGAAGCACACAATGTGTGTGTGTGTGCATGCCCCTAAGATCCTAACAGGATGGGGAAACAGAGAAGGCATCGGGGGTGCTTGCTCACTCGCTCTCTTTCCGACAAGCGCACGCACTATTCGGAAATTGAGATGCACTTTAAAAGAAAAATTAGGAAATAGTTTTAACAGCTTTCTGGAGATATAATTCACACATCAGGTAATTCTCATCTGAAGAGTGGGATCAGCTTGGGAACACCCCAGAAGGAAACCCCATGGCCATGGGCACCTCCTTCCCCAGCGCCGGCCACCCCCGGCCTGCTTCCTGTCTCTCTGGCCTTGCTGTTCTGGATACTTGGCATAAGTGGAGCTCACAGTCCACGGCCTCCTGGTCTGGCTGCTTCCAGCCCGCGGATGTTGCCGAGGTTCCTCCGAGCCGTAGCACAGGACTGTCCTCGTTCCTTCCCACGGCCAGAGGTTACTCCAGTATGTTTGGGGCCCATGACGTCCCTCCCTCGGGGCCACCTGTCCTTGGTGTGCCTCCGCCTTCGGAACTGGGCTCTTGAGAATCTAAAATAGCGGCGTCCACTGTTACAACTCCTGCGTCTGCTCGGGTGTCACGAGCGAGCCAAGGCAGAGGGCCGGGTGGGAGGGACAGGAAGCAGCCCGCTGTGGTGGGAGTGCAGGGGATCTGGGAGCTGGGGCCAGGTCCTGCTTAGCCTCCCTGGGCACCAGCCTCCCGTCTGGAAGGTAAGCGACACGATGGAACCCTCCAGCTCGGACATCGGGAAGTCTCTCCCCGCATGGAGCTTCTTCCCCGGCCCCAGCTCTTCTTCTTCTTCTTTTTATTTTAAGAATTATTTAAATTTTATTTATTATCATTATTTTTTAATTGGACCAGAGAGACACAGAAAGAGGGAGAAAGGGAAACTGAGAAAGCAAGCCACCAAGTCTGGGACTTGAACCATAGTCAGCCATGGGGGAGGCCAGTGCTCTAACCACTACACCACCTGCTGTCATTCTGGTGGTAAGTCCTGTTCCCACCCATGCCCCAGCTTGGACACCCTCGTGTCAAGCTAGCTGACATCTTTCCACCTTCCCCACCTGGATGCTTCTTGTTTTCGGCGTCGCCAGCCTGTGTCCTGGGCCCCTTCCAAGGTCACAGCCCATGGGAGTCTCAGGGCAGAGGAAAAGGTGAGCAGGAAGCAGATCTCAAGGACAAAGGATGGCCTCTGCAGGATGGCAGCAGGGGAGGGCCCGGCCTGGCCCCCAGCCTGTAAACCCGCAGCTGCCTGGACCCAGCAGCCCACGTGCTTGAATCCGCATTATCTTGCCCCACCAGCAGGCTTTACAGAGACGGCATCACTGAGACACGTCACTCCCAACTCCCCCGTTATAACGTGTAACTCGGGCAGCGCCGGTTCAGGGACGGTGGTCACCTGCTGCTGCAGCCACGCTGGGTCCCTACAGAAGGCCGTGGGTTCAGTTCCCTGGTGGACTTGGACACGCCGGCACGTGGCCGTGATCCCGGCCAGCTGCGGGGTTGGGGTATGAGAGCCTGCAAGGGTGCTGTCTTTCCCTCTCCCTCTCTCGGTCGTTAGTCACTATGTTGTTCTGAACCACCTGAATGTTCCTTTTAAGGTTTTTGCCATAGGTGCCATAGGGCACATGCACTCACCCCGGAGATGAGACAGAGATGGAGAGAGGGAAAGTGAGGAGTCACCCCTCAACACTCTCACTGCCTGGGGGGATGACCACACAACAATCCCTTCTCCATTCTCCTGGGATTTGGGGCACACATGCACACATGCCCAGCGTGAGTTTCAAGCCATCAGATCTGGGATTTGAACCAGTATGCCAGCTGCATGTCTCTGTGGCTTTATCCATTCAAAACACTTCATGGGGCCAGCAGGTGCCATGGTTGTTAAGGTGCTAGACTCCCATGTGGCTGACCACGGTTCGAGTCCTAGACCTGGTAGATTGCTTTCTCTCTGCCTCACTCTCTGGTAAGAACACATGCCCTATAGAAAATAAAGAACCCAATCACAGTAATAATTAATTACAAAAAAAGGTTAAAAGAAAACACTTCATGCAAGTGACACTGTATGACGTGTGGCCTTTTGTGACTGGCTTCTTTCACTTAGCAATGTTTCTGAGGTCGGTCCACGTTGTGGCATGTGTCAGTGTTCACCCCTTGTGTTTATCTTGGCCAGGAATTAGCGCACGGTGTAGACGTGGCACATTTTCCAGCTTCCGGTTGACCGATATTCGGGGGTTTTATTCTCCTTTATGGCTGTCGGGGCTAAGGCTGTTGTGACGCGACCTGGGTTTGCAGTTCTTGCAGGTGGACTCCTAGGAGTGGCCTTGCTGGGAAATATGGTAACTCCACATTTGACCTTTCAAGGACCTGCCAGACTGTTTCTGGGACCCCAAACCAGCACCCCAGCAGGGCTTCCCTAGCCGGGGACTGAAGACGGGTCCCAGACAGCCTGGCCCCCGGAATGGGCTGGAACTCCCCAATCTCTGCATCTTTCTGGAGATGACTGACTTGTACTTTTCTTGGATTCTCAAAAGATTCTGGAGACCCTAAGTCCTCCTGTCCTCGTCTAGTGTGGATGTGAGGGGGAAGGGACTTCAAGATGTTTATGGAGGTGGAATTAGAGTATGAGCTCATTTTGTTTCCCAAAAAATAATCTTTGAAATCCACGCATAGTTTTTTTTTTTTTTTTTTTTTTTTTTTATAATATGCCTTTTTCAGGAAAGATTCCTTGTTTTCTTAACTCAGAACTATTCTTCTGAGGCCTATTAGGAGTCAAAAATAGGACTCGATACGTGATGAAAACACCAGCTGACATGTGCTCTCCTCTTACTCTCTCCTCGGAAACCAGCAAAGAGAACTTCAATAATGTCCCCGACCTGGAGCTCAACCCGATCCGATCCAAGATCGTCCGTGCCTTCTTTGACAACAGGTAGGCTCTTTTCCCTCAGTCATCCCACGCAGGGAGCTTTGTCTGTGGCAACTTCTGGTGTTACTTCTATGCTTGGGACAGCCTTTTAGGTGATGCAGATAAGAGGGTGCCAGGCCAGGTGGGGGATATGAACACAGGGTGGGGTCAGGTGGTTCCGATCCATAGCCAAGTGACTGGTTAGTTCACTCAACCTCTCTAGGCCTCTGTATTAGTTATCTCTGACTGTGTAACAAATGGCCCCCAAAGTGAGCGGTTTAGAACAGTAAACATCTCGTTGTTCCTGTGGATTAGGAATCTGGGTAGAAATTAGCAGGGGGCTCAGGATCTCACAAGCTTCAGCCAAGGTGTCAGCCGGGGCTGAGATCTCATCTGAAGGCTCGTTGGGGGTAGGCTATGCTTGTGGCTGCTAGTCAGAGGCATGTCATGGACCTCTCCCAGGGCTACTCAGGGCATGGCCGCTGGCTTCTTCCGGGGTGAGATGTCTGAATGAGAGAGAGAGGGAGAAAGAGAGTGACCGAGAGAGAGAGACTGCGAGGGGAAGAGGAGAGATGGGACACCAAGAAGGAAGCCACCATATTTAACTTGTTACTTAAACTACCATATATAACAATCTCAGAAATGACCTCCTGTCCCTTTTTTTAAGAGAGATTTTTGCTGTAGGGCTATGCATTCACCAGAGAGACAGAGACAGAGAGACAAAAAGCAAGAAATGCCCTCCCACCCCCCGGGAGTGAAGCACTCCGGTCTCCATTTTCCTCTTGGGATCTTGGGCACGCATATACATACACCTGGCCTGAGTTTTAAACAACTGGGTCCAGGACTTGAACCGTGGTCAACTACGTGGGAGCCTAGTGACATAACCATTACGCCGTCTGCTGGTCCCCGTCCTATCACCTCTGCTGTGTTCTCCTCATTAGAAATGAGTCACTAGGACGCACCACACTTGAGGAGACAACAGGGTGTGACTGCTGGGGGCCGAGTGTATGGGGAGCCACCCGAGAGGCGCCCTCAGTCCCCCGTCTGTAAATGGAGACAGTGCCACAGGTTGCTGTTGACGGCGCTCCGAGATGACATACTTTCTAGCGCTGGGTTAGCCGCTCTTGCGCCTGCCGTCCTGGCTCACGGAGAGGGTGCACCTTGGCTGGCGTCCCAGAGCGGAGGCACAGACCGGAGCTCGTGCCCCAAATGTCTAGTTCGCTCAGGTCGAGAGACTCAGATGACAGGACGCAGACGTAGCGTCTGAGGCTCGGTGGAGGGCAGAGGTGGACACGCCTTCCCCAGGCTGTCGGGGCCCGAGCACAAACACACCAGGGCCCCTCGGTCTGTTCACTCCGCTGTCCCCAGGTCTGCAGCGATCGCTGAGAGACAAGGGCAGGCAGGAAGAGGAAGGAAGGGGACAGATGTGTGGTGGCCCCAAGACCCAGAGGCCTCCCTGTGGAGTTTGTGCGGTGCAGGCCTGTTCTGCTCGGCCCAAGATGCAGCACCTGCCTGAGCTCCCGGGGCTGTGATTGCATCTGGCCCACGGGCTGTAGTGTGCTAACCCCTGACCTACAGGAAAGGATCCGAAGACAGACCTTGCGTTATTGGGTTGGTGGTGCCTCGGTTTCCCCATATACAAGTGAAAACACTATCAGTGAAAAAACTGCATGGATTTCAGTATTTGTTTCTGCATCAAAATAAATTCACTTTTAATCATCTTTCCATGAACTGTTTGAAGTCCCCTTGTCCGTGTGCACCTCTGCACTGACACGATCCCCCCATATCCCTCTGTCCCAGCCCCATCTGTCTCCCTTCCCCCCAGCTCCCCAAACAGCCCTGTAAAGGCAGGGTAGGGGCTGGGCTTTAAGCTCCTGGGGCTCCCAGTGTCCCACGAGAGCAGGTTCCTGGGGGTCGTTGTGGGCGCAGCAGGTGGGCCAGACGGCGGGGTTGTCGAGGACAGGGCGATCTGCGGTCCTCAGTGCGTCCCGGGCCTGCCCTGGTGGTTTCCGCAGGAACCTGCGCAAAGGGCCCAGCGGCCTAGCCGACGAGATCAACTTCGAGGACTTCCTGGTCATCATGTCCTACTTCCGGCCCATCGATACCAGCATGGACGAGGAGCAGGTGGAGCTGTCCCGGAAGGAGAAACTGAGATGTACGTGGCCCAGAGTTTCCCCCAGCCCGGCCGGGTCTGGGTTGCAGCTGCCGGAGCATGCGTAGTCGGGGCGCCCCGCAGAAGGAGGGAGGTGGGGTCAGACCCCAGCCCAGCGTCCTGGGCGCAAGGCCGGCCCCCGTGTGTCTGTCCTCCCAGGCTGCGCCAGGGTGGCCTAGTGTAAACACTCCCGCGTCTGTGGCCTCTGGGAGTGGCCACAGCAGGGCTGATGGTTTGGACACACCTGTTTGGCCCCTGTGGGTCTGAGCGCACGTGGCTCTGAGGTCACGCCAGGCCCCATGGAGCCTGCCTGACAGGTAGGGTAGTGCTAGCCGCAGGTGGTACCCTCCTCCTTCCCCCTGGCCCTCCCCTCCTTCCCCCTGACCCCT